CTGGAACTCACTCTGTAGACCAGGCTGGCCTCAAACTCACAGAGATCCACCTATGATGCAGATCAGGTCTGGAGAGATGGCTCAGAGGTTAAGAACACTGGCTGTTCTTCCAGAGGTCCTGAGTTCAATTCCCAGCACCCACATGGTGGCTCACAACCATCTGTAAAGAGATCTGCCTCCCTCTTCTGGCCTGCAGGGGTACATGCAAACAGAACACTGTATACATAATAAATAAATCTTTAGAAAAAGAAAAGTAAAGTAAAGATACAGGCCTACACCCTTGTGCCATACTGGGGCACAAGTGCATCCTGGAAGAGCCACAGGGCACACTCAGAATCGAGATGGGCATCAAGTGACTTTAGACTTTCTTAGGCAGGTGGCATAATGTCTGAGAACCCTGAGCTTCCCTGCGCTCAGTATGAGAGGCCTGCCGACATGCTGCAGGTCATTTTGCCTGCCAGATCTCCCATCCAGACACAGAGGGAACAGCTCAGAGCTATGCCTTAGAGGCTCGGGGCCCCAGACCGAAGCCAGGTTTGTTACTTCCTGGCTGGCAACTTAGCTGAGCCATGGAACCTCTGCTCGGTTCTGTTCCCTCCGCCCATGAAGTCTAAATGAGGCTAGTGCCAGTCTATGAAGGATTAAACACCCCTATGCCTGTAAAGGTGCCTAACTCACCCAAAGCCCCCAAAATGCCTTTAATATTATTCTGGACACTAAGAAGTTGGCCTACTTTGGAGACTCTCTTTCTGTTCAGCATAGCCTGCCTTTTCTTTCTATTCTTTGGCCCCAAGTTCTCCTGTCGCTCTTTGTCCCAGATTTCTCTTAGTATGTGAGTGCCCCCTTGGGTTCTCCAGGCCTATTTGGGAATCAAAGAGGCAGATGGCGCTTGTGTTGGCGACATCAAAAGGGAAGCATTTGTGCACTGACGGCATTCCTGGTCTCCAGGAAACGGCCTAGCAAACTTGGCTGGTCTGGTTATGGCTCGGCCTTCAGCAACTCTCTGCTTTCTCCCTGTGTGCCTACTGGGACTGTGCCTAGTGTGGGTGTTACACCAGGTCTGAGGGCCACGAGGCCTGCGAGTTTCCGGACTCCCAAATCTGCCACTTCTGCTCCCATGATCTTGTACAAACGATGTTCTCCTCAGCCTCTTTCTTCACCTGGGTCATGGGAGAAGAGACACACAGCTAGGCTGCCTTGAGCCCCCAAGGACCAGACAGGAAGCCATCCTCATGGTTCTCTGGCCTTAGAGCTTTCCCCTTCTCAGGGTCTCTTGGTATTGCTTTTCCCACAGAGAGAATCCACTGGCCTGGATGCCCTTCTCCAGCCAGACTCCTGCTCCCAGAGGCCCCAGATTCCCCTTGCCAATGACTGAGGCTCCACCATTCCCGCCCGCCCATGCCTCTCTCCCCACAGGCCCTGTTGAGAAGCTTCCTCTCTTTAAGTGGACTCTATTATTTTCTTCTCTCACTGTTTCCCCCGTCCCCAAATCTTCATCTTGCCCTTCCTCCTTCCTGCTTTCCGCAGCTGTGGGCATCCAGATGCAAGTGGACTACCTCCAGCGCCAGTTCTGGGCAGCCATGAAGCAGGTAGGCAATGGGGGCCCAGAAGAGGGCCATCCATAGGGAAGGACTGTCTCCACAGCCTGGCCCATCAGTCCACAGGAGACACCGCCACTCTGTTTCTGCCTTCCCTGACCTTCTGTGGACCCTGCACATTGGGCCTCTCCCCCTCCTACTCCAGTGCTTGGTCAGATCCGGGACAAAGGGTAAAACAGGGACACCGCTGTTGTCCCCACCCTGGCCTCGCCTGGTACAGAATAAAGCAGCACTTCACTTGGCCCCTCCCCATGAGGCCCAGGCCCTGTTGGCTGTCCAGGCTCCCGAGAACTTACCCCGTCCCTATCATCTGCACACCGTGTGGGCACAAACACACACACGCACGCACGCACGCACGCACGCACGCACGCGCACACACACACACACGCACACACTCCAGGAGCCTTCACTGTCCTCTGCATGTCCTTCTAGCCTGAGTCATCGTCACAGGGAAAAGTCCCCTCTACTCCTTCACTCCGGGCTGCCAGGTCCCTGCCTTGGGCACCAGGAGTTGCACAGTGAAAACAGAAAGGCCACAGAGGTGAAGGGGACCAATAAGAACCCACTTACCATATGAAAGCCCTAGGACATATGACATGTGGCCTGTGTTCCTCCTCAGAAGAGCACAGCCTGCTGCTCAGTGCCCTGCCCGCCAAGACATACCTACATGTGTGTACATGCCTGTCTTCACATACTCCAGGTACATATACTCCATTTACTACAGTCAGATTCTCCACATACAATAGGCACTTCACAAATGCACTACACAGTGTATATATACAGACACACACACACACACACACACACACACACACCACAGACAGACCTCCCACGTACAAAACACAGTCCACATCTATCCACATACAACACACTCTTCATAACACATATACAGATACACACATATACAGATACACACATGCACACACAATATACATACCACATGTAGACCACACATAAAATGTGTCCAAACACTCCACATACACACCACACACAAACCTACCTTTAACACATACACACTGAATACATATAGATACACACACACAGGATGGTACACACGGGCACACACAGACACACGTGCACTTGCACCCACGAAGGCACACACGGTTCACAGTGTCTCCTCTTGCTTCCAGTGCGGCACTGGAGAGGGGCCATGCCCGGAGAGCTGCGAGAACACTGTAAGTTATTCCTGAAGGAGCACACAGGTGGGAGGTCCGTGTCCTGCGTCCCCCTGTGGACTACTTCCTTCTCTCCAAATGTCCCCTCCCTGACCCTGCCTGTGGGGCTCATGGGGCCCCCCTCAGCTGTTTGGATGAGCAGGAGGGCTGGAGCCAGCCGTGACCTCCTGTCCCGGCCTCTCCCTCAGGATCTGGACTGCTTCGTCATAGACAACAACGGCTTCGTTCTGATCTCAGAGAGACCTCAGGAGGTAAGTGACTGAAGAGGCAGAACTTAGAGAAGAGGGCAGGAGGAAGCCAAGACCCTTAGCAGCTACATCAGCCAAACAGGCCAAAAGCTGGGGCCTCCGTCCCACTCTGGAGCCAATCAGGGTGGAAGAAGAGGAGTTGGATTGGATCCTCAATCCAAATCATAGGGCAAGATGACAAGTGCGGATCCCTGTTACCTGTGACTAAGCTGACCTCTCTGAGACGTGGTGAGAGGAAGTGCCAGTCACACGTGGTGGGGAGGCACTCAATAAGAACCCTGCTCAGGAAGAACACTGCCACCACGTGGCCTGCCCCCTCCCCCCACACCCCTCAACACCCCTGCTGCCTGTGTCCTGCCCTCCTCTACCCATCCTCCCATCCCTCTCTTCCATCGTGGTACCCAGGGGGACTTTCCCACCCCTCTGCGCCTCTCCTTTCTGGGACTCCCTGAGGAAAATTCCACTGTCGTCCCCAAGTCAGGGTGCCAACAGGCTAGCAGGGGCATGGGAGCAATCCTTCCTTCCTTTACCCAGCAGGCTGCCTTCCCCCCAAGCACCTACTCAGACAGAAGAGGAAGCCACGATGGTAATTTTATATCCGCTCAGCCACAAATCAGACCCTAAAATTAGCCAGGAATTATACTTTAAATTACACTTTTTAAAAAGAAGCCTGTTCAACCCTGGGCCAAACCTGAACATAGACACCTGAACCAGTTCTTTGACACAAGCCCACAGCCCTGAATAACCTCCAAGAGGAACTTCATCAGAAGGCGTATGTTCAATTTGTCTAGCAGCTTCCAAGACCTGGGCCTCCGTTGTCTCCTCCTGAAAACCACAGGCTGGGTCTCCTGATGTCAGGGCTCAACCCCAAGCTGGAAGCTGCAGGTGCCTGGATATTGGCAGAGTTGCAGGGGCAGAGCTGACGCTGACCAGAGCTCTGGCCAAAGTAGTCTCTGCCTCCAAAGCCACACTGTAGCCTCGTCCAAGGCTGAGGGTCCGTGGAAACTGTCAGAACATGTCAGGAAGTAGGCCAAGGCATCAGGAGTCTGGGCACAGATAGAATCGGGAGAGAAGGGAACCAAAGGACCATGGGGCTGGCTCCCCGGGGACAGTTCTTGAATAGCCCGCTTCACATGCAGCAAGAGCTGAGAGGGAAAAGCAGATCTCACTGTTTCCTCCTACTGGAAAGGCTTGGGCTGTCGTCAGGACGCTGCCCAAACTCTGACCAGTCCTGGCATCTGGGCCTCGGGTTCTGCCTGCCTCCTCCCTTTTCCCACTTTTTCTTTTTCTCCCATGCCCTTCTACACACAGAGACAGTCCATTCTGTCAGAATGTGGATGAAAACAAACGTTGGCCCTATGGCTGAAGAGGCCTAAGGACAACAGTGTCTCAGTCACCCAGACCTTAGTCCCACTGCCACATGACCATGACTGGCTGTGGGCCTCCTGTGGGGTAGCTCAAGCGTCTGAAGGTGGCCATGAGCATAAGGAGTGGCGGGGGAGCCAGGTGGTTTAGTCAAGCCAGATAAGATTACAGACAGGCCCAAAGTATGCCAGGATATGGGCCAGGGAGCCTACGGCGGGACAGAGAGCATTCTGGGGCATCAGCCTTGTGAGCTGGTGGTCTCCGATGGCGACTGGGCAAGAGCTGAGACAGAGGACACATGAGTGAGCAGGCACCGTTTCAACAGGATCTGCTATGGATACCGAACATCTCATGTAATGTTCATGAGCTTGAAATATTAATGGCCTCCTGGTTTTTCCCCTAACCATTTGAAAACAAAAGGGCCGTTCCTTGCTCAAGAGCCCACGCAAGTCCCCACCAGGCCGGTCAGAGCTCTCATCCCCAGCTTGCCAATCTTTGCCCGCAGCCCAGTCTACCTGAGGCACGCAGCAAAGGGCCACCTCATGAAGGAGCCCCCAGGGCTCCTGAATAACACGTTGGGTTGATTTGCTCCCATTCTACCCAGAGGATACCCACCCGTATGCTCATCAAGTATAATCCCAAGACATGCCAGAAACAGTCCGTTTCTTCTGAGATTTATATTTGATGCAACATACATTTTCATTCTCTATTTTAAGTAGTTAGCTTATGTGCCTTCATTTTCTCAAGTGTTGTATTATCTTATGCTTTGCATAGGCTTACAAGCTGATCCAAATCCTTTATGAAATTAGACAAAGTATAAATGAAACTATCTTCTAGCACAGCAGTTCTCAACCTGTGGGTCTCAACCCCTTTGGGGAGTCGAACAATCCTTTCGCAGGGGTCATCTAAGATGATCAGAAAACACAGATATTTACATTATGATTCATAACAGTAGCAAAATTTCAGTTATGAAATAGCAATGAAAATAATTTTATGGTTGGGGTCACCATAACAGGAAGAACTGTATCAAATGGCTGAAGCATTAGGAAAGTTGAGAACCACTGCTCTAGAGGCTTCTGCCAGCCCCAAGACATGCCCCCAAACACACACACACACACACACACACACACACACACACACACACACACGAGATTGGTGAACTCAGACCAGCTTTGTCTGGGGTGGGGTACAAGTCCCTACCACCTGGTCGCCATCCTGGGTCCTTCAACACCCTGTCCAGGTTTCTCTGACTCTACTCAAAACAGTTAACTGCCTCTGCTGCACCTGGCTGGCTCTCATAGGATTACAGCCAATCCTGCAGATCTTCGGAGGCCAAGGATAAGGAGTGCTGAACACCTGGGTTAGCTCTGGGAGTCATGTCAAGACTGGAGTTGAAGCTCCTTCACGGGGCTCAGTATCTCTTCCCTCATCTGGACATGCCTGGGACAAGCTGTAAGCTGAGCTGTGCTGGGTAGTGAGGCCGCCAGACCCACAGGCCTGGGACTCAGACCAGCTTGAACACACAGATAGGAGCACCTGGATGGGTATTTGAGGAGCAGCCACACAGCAGGAAAGTTAGCCCTGCCCTGGGGCAACCATCCCACAGCGGGAATCAACTCACTTCTAAATTCTTTCCTGCCTAAGCCATCCCCTGGACTCCAGGCTCGAGGGCAGATCTCATAGGACCTTGACTAAACTCAATGCAGGCAACCCTAGGCCTTTGGCTGTTCCAGAGCTCTGCAGCATGTTGACTGTGCTATGTGCAGATAATCAAGGTGGACGGTGCCTTGGGAAGCCCCTTGCCAGCTCTGTTCCTCATGTAGCCACATGTTAAAATCTGGGTCCTGAAGTGACGAAGGACCCCAAATCCACATTGGAACCTTCCCTTTGCAGGTCCAGAATTTCAGTCTGAGGCACTAACTCATTTGGACAAAAATCCAACAGTAGCTGTATCTGTTAGAAAGTATGTTGTCCCTGTTGCATTGGCTTAAGCAAAGCACAAGTTATCTCATAGATCAAAGCAGCCTAGGCTTAGGATGGCTTCCTGGAGGCACCAGGTGTCCCCATCCTCATGGTGGCACCAGAGCAAGGGTAACTGTTGCCTTCTAGTCCACTTCCCAAGCAGGAAGGCAACAGTGGCATTTGGGTGCCCCCAACATAGTCCTCTCACTTTAAACAGATTCCCAGAAGTCCTCATCTGGGTTTTGCTCCATTTCATTGGCCAGCCCTCAATACAAGGGTTTCTGGGAAGTGTAGTCTTTTATGGAGCACATGGCTACCATTTTTGCAGCCAAGCTGCCTCACTAAAAGAAGGGCAGTGGACATTTCCTGCTGAGTGACATGTTCTAGGACATGGAGTTTTGTTTGCGGAGGCAGAAGTATTTTCCAAAGTGTGCTTCCTTACAGTCAGACCTCCCACCTCAGAACCAGGCAGGGCTCAGCAGGGCTGGTGATGAATAAGCCTACAATTGAGCAAGAGAGCAAGTTCGGCTTACAGGAATTTGGATCAACTGTCCCTGGTCTGCACCCGGCTTCCCTGTCTCCCTCCCCCCTCCCCCGAGACAGGGTTTCTCTGTGTAGCTTTGGTGCCTGTCCTGGATCTCACTCTGTAGACCAGGCTGGCCTCGAACTCACAGAGATCTGCCTGTGCTGGGATTAAAGGTGAGTGCCACCACCACCCAGCTCCAGCTTCCCTATCTTAAAAAGCATAAGTTTCAGGTTAAACACACACACACACACACACACACACACACACACACACGCACGCACGCACGCACGCACGCACGCACGCACGCACACGCACCTCCAGTGAACTACGAGCAGAGTAGTCTCTGCAGGGATCTTGCTACCTGGTGATGGAAGAGAAACAAATACACACAGAGACACTGGAATAGCAAAGAGCTACCCAACTGAGCAGAATCATCTAAGCACAGGGCAGCGAGAACTCCAGCCGCCTTGGAGGGTGCTGGGCAATAGTTGCAGGTGCCCCCAGATATTGATTGATTAGATCATGAAGGGAGGAGAGATGGTCCTGTGTTATTTTGGAGGTGGGGAGGTTGCATAACACTTTCCAGAAATCAAGCTGTCTGGGATTATTTTGGCAACAAATCTAGGGAAAGAGCAAGGGATGGGTGAAGATGGTAGAGATGCCCAAAGAGGGCAGAGCCCAGGCGGTGAAAAGACAAATGCCATCAATGCAGAGAAGGGACGGGACATGGAGGGCGATGAAGAGGCCAGTATAGGCAAAGCCCATGGCAGAACTTGCCGAGAACAACCTGTGACATCATACACTACCACCACCATTACCACAACCACCATCACCTCACCGCTGCCACCATTATTATCATCACCACTACCACACACCACGTTGCCAGTAACACCACCGCCTTCTCTATCATGGCTGTTGTAAATTAGGTGCTCTGTTCAATGGCAGCAGCTTACACCTCACCTGCTGCCACCAGGTGTGGCACATTTCCACTGCAGCAACTCACAGCGACACATGCCCCCTTCTAAAGGACCCTCTGGACATCACAGTGCTCTCTCTCGCTCTCTCTCTCTCTCTCCTTCTCCATTCTCTCTCTCATTCTCTCTGTCTCCTGGCCCCTCTCTCTCTCTCTTTATTTCTCTCTCATGTCCCCACTCCAAGACGGCCTTTCATTCACCCCTCTCCCTCAATAAACCTTTTGCATTAGATCTGTTGTGTGGAGTGATCTCTTAGTAGCATACCTTGGCTGGAGCCTGCCAAAGATACATTCCCATTGCGTAATCCTAATAATCACTACTACCCCACCATCACCACCACACCCACACGCCCATACACACACACACACACACACACACACACACACACACACACACACATACACACACACCAACATACCACCAACATCAGCACCCACCTCCACCATCACCACCACACCACACCCAACAAAAAACATGTGCAACAAAGGGGGCCACAGACTCATTCTCTTGGAGGTCCTGACTCACATGCGTTGTTCCAAAAAACCTTGTACCTCTTTTTGAGCACCCTCTGGGCTGATTTCACAGCCGGCAGCAGATGACAGCATGATCTAGAAAGCATTGCAATGGGCAGTTGGGGGTGGGGCTGCAGGGGAAGAAAAGATGGTTCCATGGAAGGGCAACTTCAGGGACCGCCTGGTGGTAGCTCTGGCTCCCTCTCACAGATGGGAAGACTTCTGGGGGAAGTGGATGGTGCTCTCATGACGCAGCTTCTCAGCATGGGGGTGTTCAGCCGGTAAGTGAAAGGCGCCCCTCCCTGGTCCTCACATAGCCCTCGGGGTCTGACCTCAGATGCTCCCGGACAGGCCCCCAAGATGCCTTTCTGAAGCCAGAGACGGAAGCCAGTCTCGGGATGGGTGTGAGGTTGTGTGACTATCCCTCAAAGGAACTCTCCAGCCTCGGCTCGGGGGTCACAGGAAAGCACAGACCAAAACAGCAAGTGTGCGTGCGGTTCGTGTGCTTGAAGCCGTCCAAGCACGGGAGTGCCCTTCCGGCATGAGCTGGCTTCTACTCTGGCTCACTGTTCTAGCTTGGGCGCCCACATGGACCCCAGGCAGCACAAACCCTGCCACCCAGGCCTCCAGGCCGGGGCACGGAGTGGTCTTGGCTTCGACACAGCTCCCTTCTTCTGCATTCCAGTGTGACCATGTATGACTACCAGGCCATGTGCAAGCCCCCGGACCATCACCACAGTGCAGCCCAGGCCCTGATCAGTGTGAGTGTCACCCCAGGCCTTCCTTCTTCCCTCTCCTGGGGCACATCCTCTGCCCAGTCCTTCGGGATGTCACCCGATCCCATTCCCATCTGCCTTAGACCTTCCAGCTCAGGATATTCAGGACTCTGCTCTGATGTTCACCCTCCCCCTCCGGAGCTGTGGGGCTGCCTTATCCTTGGGGGTGCACACCTCACTCCCAGGCTGACATTAAGATCTCCAGGGGTCCCCAGCCCTGGTCCACCAGAGATGGGAAATGACCAGAGTCCTGACGGGTTTGTCAAATCCTATCTGCGGGGAGTCTGACCTACAGAAGGCCTTGAGGTCCCTCTGCTCTGGGGCTCCTTCTGAGGGACAGGCAGGTCGGGTCTGGAGGGTGCCTGTGCAGGGACATCACCTGGTGTTTCCCTGAAATAACTCCGCTCTTCCTCCAGCCTCTCTCTGCCTCCCTGATGGTGGTCCGCTGGCTACTGCATGAATTCCTGCTGTGAGTAGGGGTTAAATGAAGAACCACCCCCATGGGGTGGGGGTGGGAATAACCCATGGTCAGAGGTCAGGAGAGGAGGGTTCCCTGCTCCGGGGAAGTGAATCATGAGGCCAGGACCAAAGGAGAGGGCTCCCGATAGGTGGGGCATGAATCTTGGGTTAGGGGGCCCAGGTGAAGAGAATTCCCCTTGGGAGAGGACTGGGTCACGATTAGAGGTGACAGGCAGGAGAGGATTCCCTGCATATAGGGACTGGAGTGTGAGGATATCCTTAAGAGCGGCTGCCTATGGCGTACCAGATAGCCTGGCTCCCTAGCCAAGGGAGAAGGGAGGCATACAACTCCATCCTCCTCCATTCATGTCCTCAAGCAGAAAGACAGCTTCCCACAGGTGGCAGCTAGAGACAGTGGTACCCCCTGAGAACTACACATGCCAGCCCCCAGGACTGTGTTCCGTATCCTGCAGGTTCCTGCTTCAGTGGAGTGCCTGGGGATCTTGGTATGACAAAGGGTCAGAGGGTAAGTCCTAGGAGGCAGCTGTGGGCAGCGTTTTGGTAAGCTCATTGGAAAGCTTTTGCCAGGGGGCGGGGGGTGACGGTGGGGTGGGTGTCGAAGCCATGTTCATGTTCATAATCTCATCTCACCACCTTCCCCTCACTCCGGGCTCCCTCACCTCTGTGTGTGACATCACATCACCTCTGAACACCTTCGCTCCATGTGACATCATCACTGCCCTATGACATCTTGCCCTCGTGTGATGCTGTGCCTTTCCTGTGCCATGTCCAACCCTGTGGTGGGCACATGCCCTGGGCAGCCAAAGCTGTCTTTCATCACTGTAAGTAGTTCTGGCTGAGAGAGCCCATCCCAGTGTACTGGGGAGCGGTAAAGAGCTTCCCTTTAAGTCTGTCCTGGGAGTGAGCATAGGCAGGCTGAGTTCCTTTTTCCTAGAACACTCCTTGATTGGGGGGTGGGGGTCCTCCAAATCCGTCATCTACTTTAAAGCACCATTTCTGGGGAGCAAGAAAACACAGAACTCAGGCCACACAAGTACAGCCCTGCCTTAGAGAACATCCATCTTCTCTTGAGAGGTTCCAATGATTAAAGGGAGGTATGGCCCATCATGTAGGATGCCACCAGGTCACCCTCGAGAAGGAAGCAGTGGCGCCTGTGCCTAGGTATCTGCCAGCCTCAGCAAGGCTCCAGGTTTGAGGGAGTGTCCTCTAGGATGAAACTCCTCCCATGAAATTGTGCCTAAGGTCAGAGTCCCCAAAGACAATGACATATTGAGGCAGCCCTGACACAAAGCGAAGGAAAAGCTTTGTCCCAGCTGCTGGTGACGCTTGCTGCCGGCCTGGAAAGGGGGGACGCCTGGTCTTTATGAGCCAAGAGACACAAAGGCACTTAGATCTGAAGATGTGGGGCTTCCTGGGCCGTAACGATGCCTGACTTCAGCCCACCCACCCTGCTCAGTTCTCTCCGGGTTCTGGACATCCAGTGGCCAGAAGGCTCCCACTGCCTTCTTGTTTGGCTTCCTTATATAAACAATGTCCCTCCTTCCCCTCTGCCTCCTCGGCTGCTGCTGCTGACCAGGGCAAGTCCTTGGGTCTGAAGTTCCTTTGGTTAGGCCCCTTGGTGATTCCAGGCTGTGGTGGGAAATCGTCCCCAGCCGTTCTCACGGGGCCTGGCTGGATCAGTGACAGAAGCCGTGTGTGGCAGTCTGCTCAGACTTACCCCAGGCTCAGGAGGCAGGCAAAGACGTCCCTGCCACCTGCACGCTCTGTCCCTCACTTCTGTAGGGCAGCCAGGAGACTCGCTAGTGACCTCAGAGAAGCCATCTGGTCCTACCCCTGGGGACTCTGACAGGTACCAGCACTAGGACGACCTCTCACCAGTGGCTCCAGTGACAGGAAGATAGCTCAGCTCTAAGCCTGAATCCCTAGGAGGAGACGCCGGTTGTGAGGCGTCTGTCCTCGGGGCGCCCCGGACCAGGAGTAGGGGCACCCAGCAGCAGGAACAGGAATGGAAGCTAGCTGGGCTGTGGGCGCTTTTCCAGCCCCCGCGGACTGTTTAGCCTGCAGCCTGCCTCCCCTCTTAGATTCACGGTCTGTGAGGGAAGCTTCTGGGTCCAGGCATTGAGGAGACCTGTGATTCTCTTCACTCCTTGTGTGACCTTGCAAAAGCAAAGCCATGCCTGCACCCCCATTTCCAGGCGTTTCCAGGCCACAGCTGCCTTCCCTACCTCCTTTGCTGCTGGGCGGAAGGGGCAACGTGTGCTTTGGAACAGCAGCCCTGCACAGTGCCCACAGGTACTCTGCAGAGAGATCTCAGGGGCCCCGGCAAGGGCCACCCAGCAGCTCAGCAAGGCCCCAGACTCCACTGAGCTTTTGCTGAGTGCTAGTCACGGTATCCCCGGCCCTTGTAGCAAACTAAAGGATGTTGCCCTTGCAGATGGGCTTCCTCAGACCTGTGTGATGTGTGATAGCCCCCTCCTCACCCACATTCTGTCACCCGCAGCCCACAAGCACAAAAAGCAGGACCTGCTGCACCCCTGTGACACAGAATACCCAGTGTTTGTGCACCAGACAGCCATCCAGGAGGCCAATGGGATCATCGAGTGTGAGGCCTGCCGGAAGTAAGTCCCCATGCAGTCACCAAGCCTAGCCAGGGCGCAGCTTCTCGCCCCTGGCACTCACAGGAAGGTCCACAGCAGGAAAGGATTGACACCTCAGAGAAAGGCCACCTTCCTCATGTCCCCACTCTTCAGTACAGGGAAAACCCAGGCTGGGGCAGGAGAGAGAGCAGCAGCAATTTGGTGGTCTGCTTTCGGGGACACACGGACAAGGGGTCCAGTTCCTCTGTAAGTCGCTGTAAGTCCTAAGCCATGGGGCCTCCCTGAGGAACCCCTGCTTGCCTCTTCTCTGCTCAGGCCAGACCAGCCAGGGCAAGCTAATGCCTGGGCCTTGCACACTTCCGCCACCGGCTGGGAAAGAAGCAGGAAGTTCTGTCCTGTACAAAGCAGGAACTACGCACAGGTCTGGGGTGTCCTCAGCAAATGTACAGGACTGGAGGGGGCTTGGCCCTATATTCCCTGGGGCATCGCCACCATCTTATGTGCACACAGACCAGCCTTCCTGAGACTGGCGCTATCGATGTGCTTATCTCAAGGCTTGAAGGAAACGTCAAGGGGATGGCAGAGAGTAAGGGCTTCCCAGCAGACAAGCTTGACTCTCTAAATCCAGCTCTGGTCCTTTCTACCTCCAGTATAACCTTAGCCTCAGGTGTGTCTGTGCAGAACGGGAACTAGACCAAGTTCACACAATGCTGTGATGATCACATCTGTGGGCTTATAGGTGTGATATATACCTGTGTGTGCGTGCAACATCACCCACCCCATACGAAATGCTTGGTGGCAGCCGGCACTGCTGTGTATGTAACACCTGGTCAACGCTTAAAGGCCGTTCCCTACTCCCCACCCCCACCCCAAGCGGTGTATAGGAGCACTGTGCCACCTTGTGGCCAAGCCCAGAACTGCAGGTTCTCCAGCTCTCAAGCGGAGATAATATCCCTGCTGGGAATGGCCCCCTGCATATTAATGACAGCTCCTTCACCTTCTCCAGGCTATTGGGAAAGGAGGGATGCCATGTGTAAAAGTACCGGGCTATTGGCCTTAGTCTGCCTGTGGCTACGTGTCTTTCCCGGTGTCCTGGAAGGTCTCTCCCCCGAGACCTTCTCCTGGGGCTGCACCCCTCCTGCTCAGAGCCCACCACCCTCTCTACTGCAGGACATTCGTGATGCAAAAGATTCCCAGCAGCAACTTGCTCCTCCTAGTGACAGACCGTACCTGTGACTGCAGCACCTACTCTCCCATCCTCCAGGAGGCCACAGAAGTCAAATATATCCTTCGCATCCTCCAAGGGGGAGGGGCTGGCTGAGAGACCATGGAGGAACTCAGATTTGGGGCACAGAGTCCAGCCTGTCGCCCACCCCATTCCCTTCCTTACAGCATGACTTAAGGGCCAGCCCCTCTGCCCCCCCCACACACACGGGGGTGGGGGGCTGCCCATCCTGAACCTGCTTGCAGGGCCACTGACCTCCCAGATCTTGACCCCCAGGATCTCTAGAACTTTGGGGAGTTGTGTGACCTTGACAGTGAGCTCTGCACATAATGCCTCTGTCAAATGTAACAGGATGCGCTCCCAGAAGCCCCGACGGCGACCAGGATCCTGCCATGCCTTCCATCCAGAGGTGTGTGCTGTGGACAGAGGGGCCTGGTCTTCACTCCCCAGTTTTGTCCTGTGTGGGACTTCCTGGGATATGAATGTTTCTGGGTGTCGGTGACATCACTGCATGTGTCCATCATACTGGGAGACCCTGGCATTCACATTTACGTGGTCTAAGAAATTAGATTCGCCAGGCCTGTCATCTCAGCGCTAGGGGGCAGAAGTAAGCAAGGGAGTTCCAGGTCAGCTTGTGTGGGGCAGGGAGGGAGGAGGGGGAAGGTGAGGGACAAAGCCTAGAGGAAGGAAGGGAAGAGAATGGAACCCAGGACTCAGGGAAAGCTGTGCTTCCCAGGGCCTGGGGCCCACTAACTTTCCCTTGCTGTGCTCACTTCCGCCACCTCAGCCCAACTCCCCGTTAGTTATGAGGCTAGTGACAATAGCTAGTGGTGTTTATTGACACCTGAGCTGGGGGCCTTACTACCCAGTCTCAGCTGGGTGTGGCTGCCACAAACTACCTCCCCCAGAGATGCCCCTGGAGGTGAGGGCTACTGCACACCATTATGAGGAGCAGGGCCCCAGGGACTAAGTGCACAGTCTCTACCACCCCTAAAAGCTCAAAGAAAGGTTGAGCTTACTTGGAACTTCCCGTCTCCCAGGTTTGTCTGTGTTGACCCACACTGTGCATGTGGCCCTTGGGTTGGGAGGACCAGCCCACTCCTAATGCCCCTTACCTCTCTGGCTTCACAGGAGAACGCCCAGGACTGTGGTGGCGCTTCAGACACTGGAGCTTCTCTGCCTCTGCTCCTGCTACCATTGTGGGTCTGGCTGCTTCCACCACAGCTCCTGTGGTGACCCCATCCTGTCTGACTTTCACAGAAGGGGACCCTTACAGAGACATTCTAAAAAGTCGCCAACTGATGAGGAGGGCCCAGCTCACAGCAGCGAAGTGTCTCCTGGCTTTCGGTCCTGAGCTACCAATCTCCCTCTGTTGGAAGGATCCCCAAAGCTCTCCAGGGTGCCGAATACCAGCCACCCCATCTTCTACTTCTGCCTCTGCTTCAGGACTCCCAACAAGAGCTCAGCTAGAGGAAGGGGAGAAGTTACCAACGATCAGAAGCAGCCAAAGGGCTGGGTGTTTCCCTGGCTGGGGTCTACTGCAGATCTGAGCTCTGGGGGCCAGGATGAGCAGTGTGGCCCATGCAGAGGCTGTGGCAAGAGCACACTCACCACAAACACAGGAGTCCTTGGGAAGGCACTCTCATCCATCCCAGATAGTGCAAGGGAGGACAGGCAGAGGGAGAGACGGAAAGACTCAGCGAGGGACCAGGAACCAGGGAAGAAGTGGAAAGGAAGTAATAGGCACAGAATAAGCATTAAATTCTGTGAGTTATCATCAGAATGCTACCACTGAAGAACTCCATCCTTTTTATACTAATAATCTGAAGGAGAGCGGGGAGGAGTATGTATATGGGAGCATCTGGAGGGAGGAAAGGGAAGGGAGAAATGTTGAAATTATAATCTCAAAAGGGAAAAAAGAAAAAGAAAAGCTACTAGGCTGAGCCCTGCAGCCGCTGCACTGGACAGTAGTGTGGTCCAGAGGAGATGCTGGACAGTAGTGTGGTCCAGAGGAGATGCTGAGAAGATGCCAGGCGAAGGTCCTCATGGACCTCACTATGGTAGGGTACAGGTGAGGTCTCCAAGACCCATGGTGGGCTTTCTGTGGCTCACACTCTACAAAAGTAACTACTTGGCTGTCTTGGGGAAGCCCTTGAGGTTGGAACAACACACAGAATCCTTGCCACAATGCCCTGAAGTAGGTCTACAATGTACCTGCCCTTTTTTAAAATTTTTTTTTGCATGTCTGAGGTGTGCAATTGTGCATGTTTGTGGACCTGTTTGTGCATGGATGCAGAGGCCAGAGGACGGTGCTGGCCGTCTTCCTCACCCACTCCCCGCCTTATTTTTTAAGACAGGGTCTCTCACTAAGCCTGGGGCCCTCCAATTCAGCCACACTAGCTGGCCAGAAGCCCTAGGGATCCTCTGTCTCCAGCTCCTCAGTGCTGGGATTACCAGCATACCCCATTGTTTGAAGGGTCCTCATACTTCACTAGCTAAGGCTCTCAAGCCCTATGAATTACCTGTCTTTTAAATGAGGAAACTAAGCCTTAGCACTCAAGAGACAGAGGCAGGTGAATCTTTGTCTGAGGCCAGCCTGGTTTACAGAGTGAGTTCCAGGACACCCAGAGCTACACAGGGAAACCCTGTCATGAAAACAAACAAAATAATAATAGTAGTATTAAAAGTATTATTAAAAATAATAATAGTAATAAAAGAGGACACTAAAGCTTGGCTTTAGATCACGTCATAGGCGATGTACCTAGAGCTATCCAACATGCAGTCAGCACGAGAGACACTAACCACTCTCCCTAGCACCGTGCTTCATAGCTTAGAAGACAGGAAAGATCAGAGGGGCTGCCCAGCCCAGGTGAGGTATCAAACTGTCACGGCTGAGCTTCCTTGCTCTTCGTGCCACCAAGACAGCGTTGTCAGGCATGGCGGGCTAGGTCTTTCCCAAGTCCTGCCACAGTACCCGACTTCCTTGCTTTATCATTAGTGATGTAACTACTCAGCAGCACTAGATCTCAATGACGAGCACGCCATGGGCTCTTGGGGGTGCTCATCTTCCTCACCCAACCAGACAGAGCATTTGAACCGACTTAATAACTATTTTGGCCACAGGATAATATTGCTAAGTGTAGAATGCCCGGCAACTCCTGGTCATGAACGTGGAGCTCCTGTGCCTGGCACTGCTGAGGGACTATGTTTTAGAGCATCATTGGAAGCAGTTGACTTCCCATAAACCACCGCTCTGTCCCTACGATGCAGAACAGATGACACCAGAACTCCATCAAGATGCTGGCAGGTGGTAGCCTAGCTTTGGCTAAAGATCTGGGCCCTTGACTTCTGGAGAAGGAAGTTGGTGCCCCTGCCACTTAATGGGGTATGGCATTCTGGCATCTTTATCTGTGTCGCCTTTGACGCTGCCAGAAGTACCGGAAATGTGCTAGCTACTAATCTTGCATGTTTTAATAGAACCACCTCAAATAAAAGGCTTCAACACCATTTTGTTATGCTAAATGAAGTTTTGGTTCAGAAGAACATGGGAGTGGAGATATCTTAAGGTCAGAAAAGTACAGAGGTAAGAGGGGCTCAAATACAACAAAAGAAGTTAGAGCAAGGGCTTGGCAGAAACCAAGCCAAGATCGATGGCAATTTCGGAAATACTTTTTACAGTGGACCATACATCAGGAAAGCTGCAAAGGATACTCTTATTTTTGACAGGTGAGAGCACATGGGACCAGGGAAGGAACGGAATCATGTCCCACGGCAAATGACAGACTAAGGAGGGCATGTACCTGCCTCTCTAATCCGAGGCTAGTGTAGCCAAAGGACAGACAGAAGAACGCCAGGACATGAAGCTGCAGCCCAATGGTTGCAATGGTTTCTGAGGGGTTGAGCCACTGAGTACTTAGATTGGGGGTGGGGAAGAACCAGAGAGCTTGTGCTGTTTGTGAGGGAAGGAAGTGCAGCTAAAGTAGAGCATCCGAGCCAGTGTTGTTCCTGGGCTATGGCAACAACGCCATCTAGAGCTCTAGGGAGTGCAAGCAGCCCCAACAAAGCCCAGGAGCAATGTGCATGCGGTCAGGTTCCTTCAGCTCTTAGACCCCTACGGTCACTTGCACCAGATGTAGAGAAAGCTCATCTTTTCCTAAAGACAGGGTCTGTGCAGGCCAGGCTGGTCTTGAACTTATGATCCTCCTGCATCGACCTCCTGAGGGCAAGAAGTTTCTACAAATTCCTTAAACTTCCTGTCTAAATTAGGGTGTTAAGGATATCACTAAAGTGAGGTAAGGTTTTTAAAAGGAAAAGGGGGGGGGAGCAATAAAAACACAACAAAGTTCATCTTCCATTTGGCTCTTTTTATTAGAGAAATTGAGAAGACAGCAAGTAGGGAATTCTCATGGTGAATGGAACCGGTCACATAGATGCCTTTCTGGAACCCCAACCTTCTATGATCCCCAAGTGTGCTTTGTGACTTCAGCAACTTAGAAAGGGGAAATACTGAAAAAGGCCACTATTTACTGATGAAAGAATGAAGGTGTACAGGTTCCTAACTGGCCTAGGGCCAAGAAGAAAATGAAACACGTGCGCAGAGCAAGCCAGCCTCAGACTGCTGAAGGTAAGGCATTCAGGTGCCAACCTGACGAGCTCCCGGGGGCACCAGGTCAAGTGCACATAGAGGCTGTTGTAGTGAGCTGCGCAGACATATGCGGGCACACACGTGCCCACACACACACACACCCAGAAGGGAAGTTACTGGACTACACACTGGCGGTGTTGATTCTTTTCCCTAAGAGTTTGTGCTATGGTGAACCAGATTCTCCCTGCTTTGGGAAGAGGGATGACTAGACCCAAAGACCTCTATTCTGTAGGGTCATGGGAGAGCATCTCATACTCTATCCCAAAGAAAAGGACCAGAGAGGAAGTCTGGCTTCTGATATGTGCTGTTGCTACCACAAACCTAGGTGAGCTTCCTTCCAGATGGACATTGTCCTGCTAAACTGCTTGAGGAAATAACACTGTTCTTAACTCTGCCTGACACAAAGCTGTTCACCCAGAGTCTTCTGTTTGGTCTACCTAGGGCAGTGACCTTATCCACAGCCAAACACTCCTAAGTCCTTCCAGGTTTCACAATGGGCTCTTTCCTGGATCCCCAGCTGGAGTAAAGCAAGGACAATGACGACAACGACCAAGAAAACACTACTGAATAAATAGGAGTGCCTGAACACATTCCCAAGAATCCCTTTTGAGATCCCGAGGCCCCATGTTATACTGTGATACCCACCAGCCCCAGGATGTGATGCCTGCCTGAAGTCTTGGATACTCAAGTGCTTGGTTTCTTCACTGAGGAGCCAAGATCAGAGTTTTATAAGCCAGACCCAGCTCATCCCCAGTCTCTAAAACCTATAGCATGGTGGCCCTGGGACAGAGAAATTATTTGTAACTCCTGGCAGCAATTCAAAATTATGGGCTTAAGTCTATCAGACTACCTGGCAATAACATACCACTTCCTTTTAAACTCTGTACCACACTCCTTGCAAATGGCATTCAGTGAGTGCTAACAACTCCACAGTAGATACTGCTGACTTTCTGTCCAAGGAGAGCCGAAGAGCCTATTCTGCCACACCACGCTTCCCAAGACAGTGCACCAGAGAAAAACACCATTATTCCTAGTAGGGATGGCTCTCCACAACTGCCTATTTGATTTCATTGGAATCTCACTAGTAGTGGCTGGCTCTCTATGCCAGGAGCTCTGATGCCGTTTGGTTGGGGCGGGGGTGGGTGTTGTTTTTTATTTCCAGGAGGAAGGAGGATAGTTAGGGCAGTGATTCTCAATAGAGCAAAGTTTGCAGAATGGCTCAGGACTCCACAGAGAGGGTCTGGAGAATGGCCACACCTCTACTCAGATAAGAACCAGACAGGCCCCATGCTGATGCTTGCTCCCCCCTCCCAGAGGTCCTCTTCCCCTGCATATCTCTTTACTACATGACGGGAGGACGAGGTGGCCCCACTCTCAAATGATGCCTTCTCTGGAGCCATTGGACCACCTCTGCCGCCCCCACTGAGAAAGCACATGCCACTTCCTTTCACTTCCCTCCTCCTCTGAATGCCCACAGCTCTCGGTCTTGAGTGGCCGGGAAGTCCCTGGGCTGGGGCTGCACCCTCCGCCCCAGCAGGGTCCAAGTGTTATCGGCCTATGGAAGGCACCTTGGTGCACCAAGACATCGTGCATTCTGGGGCTACCACCTCATCCTCCTTCCATCCCTTTGTGCAAAATTGAAACAGTGTGTGGTACTTGCATGTTTCATTCTTTTAAAAAAGTCTCCCTCCCTCCCCTGCCCCTATGTTTTAAATGTTTATATAAATTCTTATTTAAACAGTAAATTAGAAATCTTATTTACATTAATTTCTTTGTTCTCCCAAAAGAGTGCCTAACCTCACACTCCTGCCCTTTGTTGGATACAAATGTTCACCTAGGTTGGTTTTGATACGTTTTAAGGAGCTCCAGCGGCACAATCAGCTGGCGCACGGTACTCATGTATTACTGCTTTAAGGAGAGAGGGAGAAGAGAGAACCACCCACTAAACGTGCCCATCCTCTACAAATAAATACGATCACATCAGAAGCCAGTCTGCCAGGCAAGGGTCTTGCAGAGTTGCCCTCCATCGGTAGATCCCAAAAGGAAGTCAGGGGATGAGCCGTTTCTCCTTTTCTCCAAATTGATGCACTCCATCCTTTGAGGTATGATTTATTTTTGTTTTTCTCTTCTTAGTCTTGTACCCCATGGAGCCCTTGGGCCATCACGAGGCCCACGAAGCTGTCCAAGTTTTGGGGCTTCTCTGGCACTGGCACCGACAGCCAGTATGCAGGCCTGTGGGAGCTGCAGGCCTGGGTTCAGGGTCACAGTCCCTGGCTCCTGCAGTTTCACAGTGCATCCTCTTCAGTGCAGCCCCCGCCAATCATGAACCGGAATTCCTGCAGGTTAGAGACGCCGTGGAAGTGAACGAAGGCACCAGCAACCACGAAGATGTGGAACAGCTGATGAGAGTGGAACTGGAGGGAGAAAGGGTAGAAAGGCCATCGTTACCAACCAGCAGCCACCAGGAAGAACACTGCTTGCATGGACAGTGGGAGTGCATACGATAGAATTCAAATTCAGGGTGGGTCCAAAAACACCTCACATTCTACTAAGTCCAAAGCCAGCTCACCCAGAGAAATACAGTACTACCATTAACACAGTGAACTTAGGAGCAAATTCCATACAGACCTTGTAGTTAGACCACCAAATTCCCCAGGACCCCTGATAACCAGCAGCAGGGTATGGTTTACTGACAGACACTTGAGAAATGACAACATTCTCTCATGGTCTCAAAATGAAAAGGCACAGTGCTATTTATCAAGACACTGGAATTAGAAGTACAACTGAGCCAGGTCATAGTGGCACATTCCTTGAATCACAGCACTTGGAGGCAGAGGCAGGTGGATCTCTGTAAGTTTGAGGCCAGCCTGGTCTACAGAGCAAGTTCTAGGACAGCTAGGAACCCTGTCTCAAAAAAACAAAAAAACCAAACAAACCGAAACAGAAGTGTAACTGAGAAGAAATAAAGGGTAAACTAGCTGACCTGAAGCTCTGCAGACGGAGTTCAGGGCCATCTTCATCTACTTTAAGGACATAAGCGGCCAGCTCAGCATGCAGCCATGAGCAGTAACGAGAAGCAGAACCTACACGTCCCATCTCACTTGAAGAGAACTCCAAATCTAAGACACCACTGACGATGTTTCAGATCCTCTCCGGGTAAAAATGTCCATCCATCTTTATAATTTCTCATTTTCTTTTCTCCTGTCTCTTCCCTCGTCTCTCATTATTAACCACAGTCTAGCTATCTGTCTTTCCTCCCTTCCCCCACCAGACACATACAGACTCAATCTCCTAAGCAGTATCACTGGGTCTGGGTACCAAAAAGGATCCCAAAAAGGATCTTAGGGCCTGCAAGATGGCTGGACAGGTCAAAGCACATATTGCACAAAGCCTAGCAACCTGTGTTCAATGCCCGGAGCAACCGTGGCAGAGAGCCAACTCCTCCTGAAAGGGGTGCTTTGACCTCCATGGGCACCACGGCATGTGCGTGCCTGTTCTAAACACATGCATCAAACACACACAATAATAATAACTAAACTACATTAGTAACTCAGCCCTCCCCCACAGAGCCCCCTCCCCTTGTTTTTTGCTGGTGTTTGTTTTGTTTCTCGAGACAGGTTTTCCCTGTGTAGTCCTGGCTGTCCTGGAACTCTCTGTAAACCATGCTATCCTCGAACTCACAGAGATCCGCCTGCCTCTGCCTCCCGAGTCCTGGGATTAAAGGTGTGCACCAACACACCCTGTTTCAGCCTTCTCTTTTTAAAACTGATCTCAGTAGAAGACTGCTCTCTTTTCATAGTGAGAAACAAGATGGAAAACAGACAGAATAACCAATGACTTCGCTACAGTACAGCAAACAAGAGCACAGAGCGACGCTAAAACCAGCTTGACTCCATGCCTATGTTTTCCACTGAATGGCCACTTGCTTTAGACCAGCTGCTGAGCCTTCCTGAACCTTAGCTCCCCCATCTGTAAAGTGAAAAGGAGAACACCACTTCTGCCTTGGGGACTGACACTTGATGCATGTGCAGTACTGCGGCATGTGCAGCACTCAGTACTGTACAAGCCAGGCACTGAGTGCTCCCTGTCCAGAGAAACCGGACAACAAGGGACAGAGCTAAGACCGGAACACAAGTCTCTGAACTTGCAAACTTGATTACATCACTCCCAGTGTGCCACTGGCACACTAACAGGAACAGGAACATATCCCTATCACCATGGACCACACTTACCCAGATGTCACATTTGCCAGGAAAGAAGCGTTCAGGGATGCGGGCAGCGTAGAGTGCGGCTCCTGTGATATAGAGGCTAGCCATGAGCATTAGCCAGCCTATCTGCCCTATGGTGGCAGCCTTCAGGAAGCCTTCTGAGATGACATAGTGCAAGGTAGGGATGATTCCACTCAGGCCTAAGCCCACAAACACTCCTAAGACATCAGGAGAACAGAAGAGAACACACACAGAAAATAAAAAAGTCAATATTACAACATAGTACTATTTACTTTGATCAACTTAAAATTTCAAAGTACCATCATTCTTGTTTTAAAGAAAAAGAAGGTCCTTCAAACTTTGAGACACCATCACATGAGCTAATGTAGCTATGTTCTATTTACAGATATGAGAAGCCTCACAGTAAGCCAGGCTGTATAAGCAACCCTGAGGGCTGGTCAGAAACAACCCCATTGGGAAAAGCATGAGGAGTTAGCTTCCACTTCCTTGAATGCCACCCCTTTACAGGCAGACTGCGACAGGCTGTAAGCCTTCCCACAGACTCTAGGACTCGACTCGGCACCTCCAGTAAGCTGTTGGCATGCCACAACATACACAGGAATGCATACAGGATGCACAATCAGAAAACATGCACACCTAAATGAGAGAAGGAAATGGCACGCTAACTGCATAGAGGTCAGGGACCAAGCAGACCTACTAAAACCTATTCTACCCCTGACTGTCCTCTAAGGCATGCTACACTCCTGCTCTTTTCCTTTGCATATGAAGGAAGGCTGCTAATAGTGCTTTTCACCCTCCAAGTCAAAGTTCAGGACTTAGCCTTCTGAGGGTTATAAATAGTAGAATGCTCAGTTCCACTCAGCAAAGATGTTCTTATCTCACGCACCCAAATAGGTTTAACCCCACTGACCTAGTGAAGAGCTACAGAGCTGGTGCTGGCTACTGGACGCCTTATGTGGATGTCTTTAAACTGCTATCATGTCATCAGCATGAGGTTAGTTCTGTTTCTGTTAAGCATGAAGGGCTTAAATTTTATAACAAGAAAAAATATGTGTTGTATTATCACTTGGGAGACACTGGGTATTATTTTGGGAACAGAAAGCAGAAGACAGAACTTCAGACAACACAGAGTCCCAGTTCATAAGGATTTTGTCAGAATCACTCAGCACAGGCTACTGCATTCAAAATGCCCCATTCAAACAAGAAGACTGCCAATGTCACAGGGCACTCAGTAGGTATTACTTAAATACCAAAGGCCCCTACATCAGAAGAGAAGTATGGCATCTACTTTGTTGGCACATAGTCAGCAATGAACTCAGGTCTTATTCATCAAAGCAATTTAAATTAAAATATAAAATACTAAATATAAACCAAAAAGAATCAGTCACCACAAAGTACACTAGGCTGAAACAATTACAGAAGTCATTTTAATGTCGTATTTCTTCAAATAAACAACATTGCCCGATGTGTGTGCACCATCTAATTAATCAGTGCCCCTCAACCCTGTGCTTTCTAATAACCAACTACCAGGTTAGAAGTCCCACAAGAACGGCGGTCACTTCAACTCCGCACTGCGGAAGCACAGCATCTATCTGTAATAGTACACCGTAAATGACCCGTGAGAACTACAAGTTCACAGAGACTCACCTGCTCTGACCCCCCGATACTGAGGGGTGGCAAACATGTCCCACTGGGAGACGATAATGGCTGCAATGCCCAGCACACAGATGACAATCAGGTAGATGAAGCAAGGTTGTGGGTTACAGTAGAAAGAATAATAAAGCCAAGGAACAAAACTTCCCATGATCAGAAGAGCAATACCAGAGTAATCCAATCTAGGATTGAAATTTAAGAGAACTCCATTTAATGCTAAAAATGATCATCTGTTATAGGCTCCAATTAATCCCCCAGGACTTAGGACATCAGCAGCAACTCCGAAGCAAACTGGGTTGTCTGCATCCGTTAAGGGAAGACGTGCCCACGTGGTAACATCCAGATGGGTTGTTCCTGCCCCTGACCCTATCGCACAGATGGTGACAGGGACAGTGTGAGTACTTACTTAGAGAAGAGTCGGGAGACCCCTTCTGAGTGGCAGTAGACTGTGTGGAAGAGCCATGAAAATGAAAGGCAGAGAATGGCGCCCAAGAAGAACAGCCCAAAGACCACTTTCTCTTGCAGAGGGGCCACAAAGGATATATTTGGGCGGAACATATAAAAGATCCCCAGGCACAGGAAGAATACACAACCTAGGAAAAGAAGGCAAGATGGATGAAACGTGATCTGTGGTGGTGTGTGCTGTTTTCAATTTTTCCCAGTAGCAGTAATACCAGACCCATAAATTCTGTGAGAAAAAATTTCAAAATAGAGAAGTTTATCCAAGATTTTAGTTTACTTCCGATACTGTGGTGTCATATACACTTCAGCTTCATGAACTTTAAAGACTCTAACGACTAGTTCAGGCTGCAACAAGTGGCTGCCCAGGATGCACAAGCCCTGGTCGTATCTCTAGCACTACATACACCAGGTGTGGTGGCTCACACCTTAATCCCAGCACCTGGGAGGAAGAAGCAGGAGGATCACAAATTCAAGACCATCCTCAGCAGAGGGAATCTGAGGTAGCCTGGTATAAAACCCTGTCTCAAAAAAAGGAAAGAAAAAAAAAAGGGGGGGGGGGAGATAACTTCTCATTCACCTAAAGACCACAATCCAAGAAGAAGCCAGAGTACAGTTGCTGCATGAACCATCACTTGTGCACTGTGACATATGCTGTAGGTGCTTTCAAAGCTCTATTTTACATTTGCTTATAGATGCCAAAGAGCCTTGTGCTGTTTCTCTGGTCCTCACTAGTGACCCAGTACATTACCGTCTCAAATTCCACACTTAATTGTCTGTTTTGAGACAAGGTTTCACTGCCATGTGGCCCTGGCTGGCCTGAAGCTTGCTCTGCAGACCAGGCTGGCCTTGAACTCAGACATCTGTCTGCCTCTGCCTCCTGATTTCGGGATTAAAGGCAGGCTCATTCCTAGATTTTATTGTTTAGTTGTTTTTTGGTTTTGTGGGGGATTAAACTCAGGACCTCCTAACATGCTAGGCAAGTACCCCACTGAGTAACCCCCACCCCTCTTAACTCTTTTTTAAAAAGATTTTTGTATTGTTATGTGTATGGGTCTTTTGCCTACAAGTATGTCTGTGCACTATGTGCATGCAGTACCCATGGAGGCCAGAAAGGGCACTGGATCCTCTTGCTGGAGTCACAGATGGTTTGTCAGCTGCCGTTTGGGTGCTGGGATCTGAACTCAGGTCCTCTGCAAGAGCAGTAAGTGCTCTTAACTACTAAGCCATCTTTCCAGTGCCTTTTTAATACTTTAAAAAAAAAATTTTTTTAAGAGAAAGAGAGAGCACCATTCTACCAGGCTGATTTTTGTACTTTCATTTTGAGATACTTTCACTAAATTGCCCAGGCACACTCTAATCCAGGCAGACCGTGACCTTATGATCCTCCTGCCTCAACTTCCCTTACAGCTATGCCACTAGGCCTGGCATACTCAGAATTTAAACTGGTCTCCACAATAAGACGCCATATTCTTACTGCTTAGCAAATAAGGAAGGCACAAATAGGAGCTGGTAAGTGATTCTGTTTTAACATTTTATTTCATTCTAATCAGATAATTTTAATTAAAAAATTATCTGACTTAGATGCTACCAACAAATTTGATTATTCTCACTATACTAGCAGGAAATTGGAGACATGGAAGAAACTAACCCTGAGGTAAGAAATGCAAGTCAAATGGAGTACATCCAGAAACTAGTACATCCCAAGTCTGCACAACCGTCAGGACCAACTGCAAACCATCTTCATCCTGCCAAGCCGCACCCTTGTCCCTGGTGTCACCAACGTTCTCAATGCCCTCCAGCACAGACAGACAGTGACCTACTATCAGTCTCTATGGATTTGCTTCTTCTGGACAGTTAGTTCATGGACACGGAATCACACAATTATGTAGCCTATTGGGTCTCTCAGTTAATTGGCTTAACAGCTCGCTCAGCATGTTGTAACAAACACCAGTAATTCACTCTTCTTACAGCTAAGATCTTTTTCTTTTTTAGTCTTACTTTTACTCATTTGTTTGTGGATGTGTGTGGAGGCCAGAGAACAACTTGTAGGAGCCAATTTTCTCCTCCCACCACTGCAGGTCCTGGGGGTTGAACTCGAGGTATAAAATCTGGAGGCAACAGCCTTTACTCACTGATCGTCTCACTGGCCCCCAACAATGTTCTACTGCATGGGTGTACCACATTTGGTTTATCTATTCAGCAGCAGGTTGCTTCTATTAACAAAGCTGCTAAGACATCCATGGACATCTTTTGTTGAATCCTCAACAGAAGTAAAATTGCCAGTGACTGCTAACTTTCTGAGGAACTCGCTACCATGCTGTTTTCCACAGGTACTGCCCCATTTTTATCACTATTAGCAACATTTCTCCATATCCCCAGCCAAGACTTACTTTCCACTTTCTTGGTCATAGCAATCCTGGAGGGAATAAAGTGGCATCTCATTGTACTTCTCGGAATGTCAGTCTTGTA